TTGTACAAAAAAATAAGCAAATAAGATGTAGCTGAGAGCACTGGCAAGATCAAGAAGCTGACAACCAGAAAGAATGGGGAGTGAGGAAAACAAAATTTACCACCTGCACCCCACAAAGGGTGTTGGAAGTTTTGAACAGAGGAGTTTCTAATCCACTACCACAAGCAGTGAAGGGATCTGGGGTGCAGCTCCCCACTTCTATCTGACCAGACTAGCAAGCCAGCTCCAGCACAGGGTGGGGGTCCGGCCCTGATCTGCCTCTGCTGAGGTGAACATGTGGGACACTGAGATGCGGTGTAGCAGCCCACTCTCCTTTCTTCCAGGCTCAACAAGGTTCAGAGCACAAGGGTGGCCTTCCCGCCATTTCCTCCTCAGCCTCAACCACTGAGCATGCACTTAAAAATCAGGCAGTCAGAGAGTTCAGGAAGCCCTGACCCAGGGCTCTGGCTGCCTCCAAGTTGCCTCTCAACGTCCAACCCTATTTCCCTTCCCTGTCTACCAGTAACAGGCGCTATATGGCACGGGCAGTTTGGGGGTTACCATGGTGTGCACACACAGAGGCGCTTTCCCGCACAGTGACTATTGATACTGCACTCCAGGGAACATTTTGGCTGCATTAGGTTCGGGGTTGTATGGCAGGCAAAGGCCTAGTCACCCAGAAACACTCTGGGTTCCATTCCAGACTGCAGGGCCGCTGCCACTGCCCCAGGTCGGAGAGAGAATGACCCAAACAGCCCAAAGACTCCAGAGTGCAAGAAGAAACCCTGTGCCTTCGGGAGCCCGCACAAATGCAGAGCCTGCACCAGCCTTGTTCCCAAGTTCGGAGGGTGGGGGGAGTCCGTCGTGGCCGTGGGGAGAAAACCCTGGCCCTGGCTGGAACGCGACCCCCTGCTCCCAAGGGAACCCTCCCCCGCAGGGAACTCCGTGCGCCCCTCCCCCGCCCGCCTGGCGCCTCACAAAGGCCCTTTGTCCCGCAGAGCCCCCGACTCCGGTTCCTGAAAAGTTCCTGGAGAAAAATCAAAGAGAGAAAATTGCCCCAAGGACCGGCGTAGCGGCCGGGATACCCAGCAAAATCGCAGAACTCCTAAACTTCAGTTTAAAATAAAAGGATTTTTCTCCCTTGATGCCGGGGAGCAGAAGCCAAAGGCTGCCAGGAAGATGTGTTCCCCGGGCGGCCACGGGAAGGGCGGCCAGTCTAGCGTTCTCGCTCCACCGCGGTGCCCTCCCGTGCGCTCCCGCAGAGCCCGGGCAGCCATTGCGGGAAATGGCGGAGGCCTCCAGGCTTCCTCGGACGCAGTTCCCCAGCCTCACATTGGGTGTTGCTTCCCCCCACACACGCACCCCTGGCGTCCCCTCTGCCGCCCAGTCTGGCTTATCCGCTCTCTGGGTGGCCTCTTTCCCCAGAGCCGCGGTGGCTGTGGCTCAGTTTCAGCATCAGTACAGCGAGCCCTTATGCCGGCCAGAGAGGGGTGGCGGGGGTCGCCGTACTCCTACCGGGGAATAAAGGGGTCCCCGAGGGCCGGCCAAAGGCCAGGCTGCCAGAGCTGGGATCACCACCGTTTTCCCGGGTGTTTTTCCAGGTTCCGGGAATCTTAAAGGGACCCAAGTTGGCAAGGGTGGTAAAGCTGGGGTCAGAACCCAAAGCCCTGGGCAGCGGGCAAGGAATTTGCCAAGAAATGATCCGAGCTCTGGAGCACAGGGACTGTCTTGTTTGTTCTTTTCTCGCCCAGAAATTTGCAAACTCCAGCCCCAACCCATCTGCTCATCTGGGGATTGGAATATGGCCCTTGGTGACTCGATTTCGGCAGAAGATTAGGCCTCGGAAGGTCTCCATGCACAGGGATCGGGAGCCGAACGCCTCTCCGTTGGGACCTGGGGACTGGCCTCTGCCCAGGACTTAGGATTTAGCCGCCCTGGGAGGCAAGTCTTGCGGCACACGGTGGGCCACCCGGACGAGAGGAGCTCTCGGCCCTAACCACGTTGATCTTCCCGGACCTCCCTCCCCGGGGTCCTGGAAGGCTGGAGATGCGAACTCGGGGCACTTACCGGGGTGCGGGTGGAGGTTGAGGCCAGCCATGTACTTCCCGGGAGGCAGCGGGCCAGGCAAGCCGGAGGCGGGCAAGCGTCCGGCAGTGGCCGCGTCCACGCGATGGCTGTCCATGGCCAAGCCGGACAGCAGCGGCGGCGGGGGGCCGTGCACTGACCGCTGGGGCCCGAAGTCTCGGCCATCCATCCTCCGCCGGAGTGCCACAGCCAGCCCCCCACCCGGCCCGCGGGCCTCACTCCGTGGGACCTAAAAGTTCAGCCTCGGCGTAGTCCCAGAGTCCTCGGGTGGCGGGGGCTCGGTGGCGTGCATGGCCGCGGCTTGCGCTCGGTGACGGGCCCGCCCGAGGCCCGGGGTGCACGGCCAGCCAGCGATGGAGCCCCTCTGGGAGACCAGGCGAAGCTGCGGGAGGTGGCGCACGCAACGTCTTGGAGGAGAAAGGAGAAATGAGCCGTGGAAGACAAGGGGGTAAAAAGGGAGAAAGAAAGAAAAAAAGAAAAAACAAGTTTCAGACAGTAGCCTCGACCTTCGGGTCGGTAGCTGCAGATCTAGTAATCAGGGGTGAAATCGGGAGCAGCCCTCTTTCCATGAAAAGTTAAAATCCGTGCTCTTTCCTCCTCGTGGCTTGAGTCTCCTGGGAGCCGGCTTGGAAAAGTGACCGGTATGCGCTGCGCCCCAACCCCGACTCTGCCTTGGTGAAACTGGGAAAGGGCCACGAGAGCTGACCGCACCCGGACAGTGTAAATACAAACCTCGAATAGTGTTTTATTCCCGGCCGTCACATGCTATGAAACCTTTCCATGAACGACTCGCAATATCTTCCTAAACACTGTCACTATCTGATCCGGAAAGTTTAATATTTAACCTTTTTTGGGAGCCTTTGCCTCCCTTTTTCAGTTTGATTTTAGCAGAGCTGGCGCTGGAAGCCACCAAAGGAGTGTTTGGTTTGGGGCTTTTTGTTGTTTCGGGAGGGGGGAGGGTCCAAAACGGGTTTATTATTTTTAAAGAGACTCACCGCCCCCTCTCGCCACCCTTGTCGGGCAATCGGGAGTCTCAGTCTGAGTCCAAGGACCCCAGACGTAGCATTCTGCCCTGCGGACTGGAAAGAATCCTTCAAAAAATGGCTTTGGTTTCATTTTCCAACGCTCGGGCTTGGGAATCCTGCGGCCGGAGGACGAGCCGCCTGGCGCAGGAGATTCGGGGGTCGTCAGAAGGAAAGGAAGGGAATCAAAGATCTCATCCTATTTCTCCACCGACCAAAAATAACCTACAAAGAGAACCTCAAAGCGCGAGTAGGACCGAAGCGCCTCCCCGGTGTATTGGGTAAATCAACCCCGTAGTTCCAGTTTCAAGGTGTTTGTTTAAAAGATTGGTCTTTTGCCGATTCCCGTGGGGGAAAGAGCGGGTCGTGGAGCCCACCCTTCCCTCGCTGTCTGTCGGCCAGCCCGCGACAGCTCAGATTGATTCCTAAGGTCAGGGAGCTCCTGGAGTGCCGATCACGCCAAAACTCCCGGCTCTCGGGCGCTCGCCCCGACTCCGCACCCAGCCCCCCCAGTTGGAGACCCCTTCAGCCGCAGACCCCCGCCCCCGGCCTCCTCTATCTCCTCGTTAACTTTTTAAAGGATGCCTATTTTTCCGTGTTTTGGGTTTCAAACACCCTGTCTCCCTCCCTCTCTCGCATCAGGCTCTGGTTACCAGATCCGCGTTTACTTTGGAAAAATCTAAGGTCGCCACATCCGAGGATACATGTCTCAAGTAGGCGATGACTTTACCGTGATTTCTTTTCCTAAATGTTGCGGGCAACTTGCTTTTAAAAGCCAGCCTCGGAGCGTATCCAGTCACCCCAGTTTAGGGAAGTCGGGGTGAAGTCCAACCTAACGCCTGGCAATGGCAAAGAAGCTGGCGTGGTCATCTGCGGGCTCCACTACGTTCTCCCTACTTTTCACCCCCTCTTAAATGCAGTTAAAATGGCTGAATTCTGGCTTTTAATTAAAAACAGCCTATAATCGAAAACGTCTCGGCGTCCCCGGCTCTCTCGCCGCCTTCCGGGAACCTAGCACGGAATCTTCGGTCCTCGGCCGTGCCAAGCAGGGAAGCCTGCAGCGGGCTGGGGATTCTGGTGGGCGCCCGGGGAGCAGTGGAGCGCCCCTACCCTTGGCGGGGCGCCCTCTTCCCATGGCCCCTGGCTCCTTAGCAGATTCTAGATAGCCAGACTGCTTTGGGGACCCCCTGCGCACCCTGAGGAGCAGAAGAGGTGAGGTGGCGGAGGGCGAGCTGCACAAGTTTGGAGACCCTCGCGCCCAGCAGGGCCGACGGGCAGACCGGCGGCGTACCTGGCGCAGCGGGGCTCCCGGCTCCGGGCTCCGGCAACAGCGACTCCGGCGGCGGCCCCGGCTCCCGGCGCGGCTAGGCGCCCGTGCTGCCCGCCATCCCGTGGCCGCCGCTCCCCTCCGCCACCCGCAGCCGTTTCACACTTTTTGCCCGCCTTTCCTTTTTTTGGTAGAAAACCGCTCCCTGGGCCGAGCGCTCGGCGCGCCAACTCCTCCGCCCTCCCGCGGCCCGACTCCCGCAGCCCCCGGAAAAGCCAGCTTTCCTCCCGCCGAGCTCCCCGCTTTTTAATAAAATCCAGGTAGCGCCGGTTTAAAGAATCCCAAATCTCCATATACAGCCCGGGATTGGAAAAGGTACATTACACAACCCCCCTTTCAAGTTCCTCTCGCTGGATCTAAAAAAAAAAAAAAAAAAGCCAGAGGAGGGGGGGAAGGGGGCTGGGGGAGGGGAGCACTCTCAAGCTAAGAAACACGCATTGTTCCCGGGCGCCCGCCCCCCCAGGGCCGGCCCTCGGCCGCTGCGCATTGGCCGCGCGCGCCGCCCATCACGCGCATGTAAACACCTTGGCCCTCAGCCATTCCTATAAAACCAATTACGGACCTCGGGGCTCCAGCAGTTTCCAGGCTCCCCTCGGCGGGGCTGAATGATCAAAACTGGTGGTGAGAATTTTTCCGGACCGTTTCTAGGCAGCCCTCCCCCTCCACCGGTTGGGGGGGCCCTTCCTCCTTCTCCTCCCTTTTCCTCCCCCCCTCCTCCTCCAGCGTCTGGGCTGAGTGATCAAAATAGAGGAAGATGGTTGTCGCCGCAATCCAGGGCTTTGCAAGGCGCGGTTTAATGGGCCGCCTGTCAGCTTCCTGCTCGCTGGAGGAGGTGACAAGCCGAGCGAGCCGGGAAGGGCCTGGGGCCTGACGGGCTGCACCCGCGCCCCTGCCCGCACCTCCCCTGGGGTGCGCCTCCAGAACGCACGGGGGAGACGCCAAAACAGACAAGGGCTGCTTTTTTCTTTTCCATTTTTTCTTCCTTTTAAAACAAAGCGGCGATTCATTCCCTCTCCCCCAGCAGCGCCTTCGGGTGGGATGGGCAGGCGAGAAGGCCGTTTTCCTTGCCCCGGCCTCGGGTCCCTCCCTGAAACGCGGCGTCAGATGGTTACTGATTAATATTTTGGAGAGGCCTTGGCGGCGGGCAGCGGGTGAGTCTAATCTTCTAAAAAGGGTTCCTATAGAAACGCGGGCTCAGGGCGCCCCCACCTTAGCCCCGGCCGGGGATGTGGAGCTTCGCATCGCGCGCCCCTCCCAAAAGCCCTCTTGGCGTGGGCGCCCCCTTTTCTCCCTCCCTCCCCCCCAAAAAAAAAATCAGAGCAGAAAAAAGGATTAGATCGGCTGAGCGCGAGCTGAATCCCTCTCGATTCTGACATTTCAGCCTATTAGCATTTCTCCACGGGGCCTTCTGAAACCTATTAAAGTGTAATATTAAAAACCTCGTGGCTGGGGACCTCTCTCGCTTTCCATCCGCCGCGCCCCCTCCAGGGAGGGCGAGACCGGGAAAAAAAAAATTGTTGAGCTCAGAGGAAGCAGCAGCCAAACCCAAAAGTGCTTGGCTGGCCATGGCGGCCGAGGGGGGAGGGGAGCCGCAATCCCCAGACTTTGTACTTTTATTTTGCGCTTTCAGCAAAATCCGTTCTGGGTTGAGTCGCCGGGAGCTGCCCGCGGCAGACCTACCTGTCTAGGAGCGCTGGAAACGCCGGATAATCGCAGGGACCCCGCACCCGCATCTCCGCAAACCCACAGGCTACCAAGTCCAGTTGGGCATTACCCTCGAGGAAGGCTTTGGAGGGGCAGGAATCCTTACCGTGGTGACATTTTTTTTTTTTTTTTAATTAAGAAAAGCCTGCTCTTTCGCCCTATGCTGCAGAATCAGCGTTTTCGCATTTCTATTTTTTAATACATCTTTCAGGCAACTTTTCTGGAGGGAGAAAAAAAATGAGCTAGTTAGCGACCCATTCGTTCTATTTTCTTTTCTCCACTTTTAGAAAAAAAAAGAGGGGGGAGGGCTGGAAAGAGAACTGGGGGTGTCTAATTTAATTCCAGGATAAATTTGAGGAAAAAAAGTTCGGCCTCTTGAGGGCAGTTTCAAGTTGCCCTTCCTGGAGCCCCCTGCGTTGGTTTCTAGGCTGCCCTCTTTGGGAAGCTGGAGCTCCGCGCTGGGGGGTTGGGGGGAAGGAGAAAAGAACGAAAATAGCCGGAGCCGAGGGGAACGACAGTGGTGACTGCGCTTGGAGCTCAGCTCGCGGGTCTCAGTGGCGGGCGGCCCGGGCCGCGGGAGGCACCCGGTGCAGCCCCGGGATGACCAAGAGAAAAGTCGAAGAGAGGGGGGTTAGAGAAAGGAGGTATTGTGTCTGTGTTCTGCAGGGGAGAGGGAGGCTGCAGAAGTAAAACGCAGTGTGGGGCTGCGCGGGAGTATTAAAGCTGACTCGGGCTTAAGGGACTGGGGCGCCATGCGCCCCTACAATCTTATCCTGAGACATTTGTGGATTCCCAGCAAACCCCCACACACACCCGAGCGCCCGAGTCCCCAACATTTCCTTTCCCCATCGCTCTGCAGTATTCCGAACTCAGGCCTTGATCTCGCACTCTCACCCCGTTATCCCGCCTGGGATCTGGATTTTTTTTTTTTTTTAACCATAGTTAAAGAAAAAATATGTATCGTGAGGGAGTCGGGGTGGGGAAATGATACAAAAGGCTTGCGGGATGAGAAAAAAAACAAAGGCCTATTTTTATAAATGTTTAATGTTTTCACCCCTGGATGCTCCAAGACACCGTAATTGTGACGGCGGGGTATGTGTGCCATAAATCATTTAGTTGCTAATAAAAATTCTGCCTGTTTGCCCTGGATTTGCCAATGGCGTTTGCATTTTTCAAGTGTGCGCCTCGCCCTCGTGGCAAACCAAGCAGGCATTTCATTAGGGCTGCGGTTGGGGCAGATGAGCCCCCTCCCCCGGAATGCGCGCGCCCCAGGCCCCCTACACCGCCCCACCGGCCGCCCGCGCGATCTGCCACGCGGCCCCGGCTATCGCCAGGCGCAGAACCCCGAGACGCGGCAGCTGCGGGGCCCCTGCCGCGGGACGGGTGCCCGGGCCGAGCCTGCTCGCCCTGTTTCTTCAGGGCCTGCGTTATGCGTGGGGCGCTGGAGAGCCCCTGCAAGGGCTGCGCCCGCCGTGGGCACCCGGGTCTCAGCCCCTCCCAGGCCGCAAGCCCCGCAGTGGCCGCGTAAACTCCGGGAGCCATCTTGGGGCGTGGGACGGATCCCAAGATGAGTACACTGCAGTCTCTTGGAAAACCCCTGCTGTCACAGGAGAGTCTCTGGGCAGCCCTAGCCGGCCTCAGGGCCCAGGAGGACACTGGCTGCGCCCTGGCCGGCCACGGTGCGCGCATGTTGCACGCTGGGCGGCCACGCACGGGCCCAGCCGCCATCTTCCGCGCCCCACCCCCTCCACCCCCTCACGCTTGTTTACCCGGTGCGAGCCTTGGCCAAAAACCATGTTGACCAGCGGGTGTGTGGGTGTGTTTTGTACTGACTGGGCGGAAAGTCAGCCCGGGGTGGAGATCTCCACGCAGTCACAAACCAAAATTCCCGAAGAACCCACCCGGGCCGGCCCCGAGTGCGTCAACTTGAGCTGGGGTCTTTGTGTGTGCCCATGCACCGACATGCGTTCCAGCAGACAAAATTGTGCTTCTTTATTATAAAACCAAAGGACAAGTCAACCTTGAGCCCGGCTGTGTCCCCTCTGCGCCTTTGTCACTGTGTCCCCTGCCGGGCCTTAGTCGGCACTGCACCCGGCGGCGAGGTGGGCAGATCCGAATCCTGGACCCCCTGCCTGCCTCAGTTCTGCGCAATTCAAGGTTGAACCCGGTTCTTCCAGAACCCCGGTGTCGCTGGCCGCGTGGATACATCCCGTTTCCTCACCAGAGCAGCCGGGCGGCCAGCATTCTTTTCTAGGCTTCGACGTCCAAATCACCCCATCAGTTGCCCGGAACCGCCTCTCCCCAGGGCTGGCAAAAGACGGGAACCCCCAAACTACACCAGCAGCTACAGTAGCGAAGGGACGCCAAGCACAGACAGCCAATTTCGGAGGCCTCGGCCAGTTCCAGGCGCCAGTTTCCGCTGGTCCTAGGTCGGGCAACCTGGGAGCTCCCGGCCGGGCGCCGCTAAAACCCGGAGAGGCCGCCCCGGGCACAGCTATCCTGGCTGCAACTGGACCAGCGGCGGCCCGGCCAGCCAGGCTGAAGTTCGCCCAGCCCAGCGGAGAGCCATGCAGACTCACCAAGAAGATGGGGACGCGGCGCCGGCGCCCCACACGGCCCCAAAACTCTGGGGCACAGCGAGCAGAGCCCGGGCCATAGCGCCAGGCCGGGCCACGGAGGATTCCGACTCCCCTCGCCCCGCCTCCGACCCTGGCCTCTTCCTCCGGCCCGGGTCTGGTCTTCCACTCCACTGTTTGGCTCGGAGAGGACGTGATAAGTGCTTAGTGTGCAGGGGGCCGACGCGCGGCCATAAATCTCCGTGCCAGCCCTTGTTCCGTTGCTCGCTGGCGAGTGTTGCAGCCTGGCCTTGCATCCCCAAACCATCGGGCAGTCTGCTCTCCCGGTCTTTGTGCAGGGAATCAAGGCAGGATCTCCCCGTTCGCCAAAGAGAGGGAGTCACCTTGCCCACTGGGTGCCACCACCAACCATCCCTGCAAGGGCTGGACCCAGAGGCAGCCCGGGTTCACCGATCACCGCCTTGAGTAGGGGTGCGCGCGCGGGCTGGGTACTTCCTCCCAGGAAGGCCTGCTGAGGCATGGATGGGCGTGCAGCAGCTATCCCGTCACTGAGGGGCGACGCCATGGTCAGAAACTGGCTTCTCAGCAGGCTCCTCTGCGAGTCACCTTCATGGACCCAGCCTTAGTCCCTCACCCTGGGAGCCCTCTGCACTCATGCTTGCCAGGACATCTTGGCTTAGGACCCTTGTTTGCTGCCCTTGTCGAACTACTGGGAAAATGGAAACCAGTTGTGAGCAGGTTGGGGCAGTGGTCTTTCCACCCTAACAATAGGAAGGAGGTTATTAGAGAAGATTTGCAGTAATGACGACTAATGTTATGGGCATTGTCTGGTATTTTTGTCAAAGGGGGACACAAAGCTCTCTGTTGGTCCCTACATCGCTCAATTGGGGACCAACCATGAGGAAAGGGGCCTTGGGACACTGGTGACGGTTGCAGAGGAAAGGGTGACATTGACCCCTTCTTGGTTGCCTCCCCCAACATCGAATGGTGCCAGTGACAACCCCGAGCGGTGGATGACAGGGGACCTGGTGCAGAGGCATTTGAAAACCAGGCGCCAAGGTCGCTGTCACCCAAAGAGTTCCAGTCCCCTCTTCGAATTTCTAAAAGCTCAGTTGGACAGACAGAGGGCTTCCAGCAACCAGGCGCAGGAATTTGTGCGCAGGCCCGGCAAGCTCGGAAGCTCAAAGGCTGCCCGGCCACATTCCTCCAGCCGCCCCATCTCCTGCGAGGCCCCAGCCCCAGCCCCAGCGAGGCCCCAGCCCAGGAAGCAGCTCAGAAAACAAAGCATTGCGGTCTCAGCCCAAGGTTAAAGTCCATTGCGAGCGCCTTTTTCCCCCCTGAATCTGAGAGCGATAGCGTTTCTCCAAATAAACCGCCTATAAATCAGCTCCCGGCCAAGCCAGCTGAAGAGCTCTGGTGACCTTGGGGAATACTTCCTGCCTGCCAGACCCATCGGAGGACAGACGTGGGGGAGGGGTCCAATGTCAGCCCGATCCCCCCACCCTCTGTAAGAGGCGGGAGCGTTGTGGGCCAAGGGCGTTTGTGGGTGTTTATTACGGGGTGTCTGCCCAGAGAGGATGGAGGAGGTTAGGAGTGAGGTTTTGGCGTTGCGGTTATTTGGGGACCACAGTGCCCAGTTGTGCAGAGATTTGTGATACTGAAAGCTGCTCTGGAGGCCTGCAGAACCACACTGTGCTAGCCCCTGGATACCCAGGGCCTCTTTGGGGGCCCGGGTCTTTGTCTGGGTGTGACAGGGTGTGTTCTGCTTCGAGCTTGTGTGGGGTGTGACTAATGGTATTTATGGATGTCAGTGCAGGGTGACTGATGGAGGCTTGGCCGCACGAGCTCTGGGGGAGGGATACTGCACCTAGGTGAGAGCGGCTGGGTGCCCCAGAAGGAGGCCTCTGGGTCTCAGAAGCCCCTTCCCCTCCCCCACAGGCTCCTAGCTTTGTCTGGGGCCATGTACATCTCTCAAAGGCCAGTGCACTCCTCCTGCCTGGGCGCCTCCAGGCCTCCCACCTCTCTGACCCAAGCAGTTGGTGCCTCTAGATCCTGGCCTTCCCAGTGCTGCTGGTAGAGCCCTCCCATCCCCCTTAACAGCTTGAAAACTCCCCTATGCACACATTGCACATTTTGACAAGCCCCGGCAGGCTCAGAAGGCCCTGGGATGTGGGTTCCATTCTACACATTCAATGCCTGAGACGCCTTGAGGGCAGGAAGGAAAAGTGACAGACTCACAGGGCTAGGAGGTGGCGGCAGACACAGCCAGCCACGCCAGGCAGAGTGGTTGGGAGCCGGGAGACATGGAGCCCCAGTGCACACCTTCTTTTGTTGAAATTGGAGGGGTTTTACCTCAAAAAAAAATAAAATAAAATTGGAAGGTTTTTTTTTCTTCCCACAGTACTGGAGATGTAACCAAGGGCCTCATACATACTAAACATGCAGACTACACCCCATACTAAGCATACTGAGCTGCACCCCTTAAAAAAAGTAAATGATGCCAGGTATGGTGGTGCACTGTCTGTAATCCCAGCAGATGGGAGGCTATGGCAGAGGAATTGCAAGTTTGAGTCCAACATGGGCAATTTAGCAAGGGCCTGTCTCAAACTAAAAAATGGGCTGGGATGTAGCTCAGTCTGAAGATCTGGAAGTGGGATAAGTCCCCAATGCCACCAAATAAAAAGGTAAATAACCCCCACACACAACTCACCTCCCCAGTTTTTGTCCTGCCAATTTTCCCTACAGTCTTCAGAGACTTTCTCCTATAACCTGGGGGAAGGTCAAAGGTCAGTGGTTTAGCCTAGGGCAGTAAGGGTGGGTTGAGGTCAGACTAACAGAGCGCCACATTCCAACAGAGTTCAGGAGGGCAGTGGCCACAAGGCAGCAACTGCAGCCTGCCCTGACCTGCACAGCCAGAACTCAGGGCACACCTGGAAGATCGAATTTCCCATCTCCTTGGGGTTTCTGATTTCTCATGCCCACACCCAGTCCAGGGGTGTTCCCGGAGCTACATTCTCTGATGCCTGCACACACAAGCTGTGTGGCACACGTAACTCACCAGAATGGCCGGCCCCTGAGCAGGAGACAGCAGCCAGCACACACTATAATCCCAGCCCTCTGGGAGGCCAAGGCAGGAGGATCACAGGTTCCAGTCCAGCCTGGGAAATGTAGACTCCATCTCAAAATAAAACACAGAAAAAAGGGGCTGGGGTGCTAGCTCAATGCAAAGACTTGGGTTCAACCCCCAGTATGACAAGGAGGAGTCTCCTGAGACCTAAGGACGTGGGCAGCTTAATTAAGGGCACCCAGAGTGGCAGCAAGCACACCAGATAGCTCTGCCCAGCTCTGTCCTGCAGGTGACAGGACTGACCCCTGTCCATGACTCCTGGACCACCAGGAGTCTGTCTGTCTGTCTGTCTGTCTGTCTGTCTGTCTGTCTCTCTCTCTCTCTCTCTCTCTTACACACACACACACACTCTTACTCTTCACCCCCCTCACTCCCTTTTCCCCCCTTGCTTTTTACCCTCCTTTGGCATTTTCTTTCAAACAGAAAAGAAAAACATTTCCCATGGCTGCAGCTTTGAAAGCTCCCCTCTCCTCTCTGCCTCCAGCCGGTGCCCACCCCCAAGTAAATCTACGGTCAGCACAAAGTCAAAAGCAAACCCACAAAGATCAAACCTCCCTGGCACAAGGGCCTGAGTTCAATCCCTGATTCCTGAAAAAAAAGATCAAACCTGAAGGGGGACCCCCCTCCAAGTCTCCCTGCACTTTATCTTCAAGTCTTGCCTCATCTTTGCGCGGGAGTCAGGAGTTGCCTCCACACCCTGCACATTCGCAGAAGCACCTCACACCCTGCTTTCATGACTGCAGGGATGTCTGGGAACCTTCTAGAGCTGCTCCTCCAGAAAGACCTGCTACCTCAGTTCCTCTCTGGAAATGTCTGGGTTCTCCCCAAAAGCCCCACCCTGTCCTGCTTTCCTGGCTCAGCTCGCTTCTCTGGGAAGCCACCAGTTATGGCTTGGTGACCCCGCTAAATATGTATGTTCCCATCCTAAGCCCCATTTTCTCAAAATGTGACCTTATTTGAAAATAAGGCAGCGGGGAGCTGGCTCAGTGAAATAAGCGCTTCCCTGGCAAGCACAAGGGCCTGAGTTCAATCCCCGGTTCCACAAAAAAAAAAATAATAATAATAAGGAAAAAGAAAATAAGGTCCTTGCTAGGTGAGCGGGGTGCAGGGTGGCCCCAATTTCAATATAATTGGTGTCCTTTTAAAAAGGAGCTGGGGTGCAGCTCAGTGGTAGAACTCATGAGGGAGGCCCTGGGTTCTGCCTCCAGTACTTAAAAAAACAAAAGTGGGTTTTGTCTGTACAGGCCTGTGATCTCAGCATGCTGGAGGCTGAAGCAAAAGGGTCCCAAGTTTGAGCCCATCCTAGGCAGTCTGACTTAGACCCTGTCTCAAAAACTTAACTGGGGTTGCACCTTACTCAGCACAAAGGCCCTGGGTTCAATCCCCAGTACCACAAAAACAAATATATAGATAAATACACTGAAAAGGGGAAAGTTGGAGATGGACAGGTGGGGGGTTAGAGGGATGTGAAGACAGAAAGGAGATATATGGATCTTGCCTCTTTCACAACATCTGGGACCCTGAGGTGGCACCTCTGGTATTTCAGCCACTTTACCTATTTCTCTGTTCTGAGAGCCAGTACACACTACACTACCCCAGGTGTAAATGCCTATGAGGGTGGGGCAGGAGCTAGGACACCCAGGGGACCAAATCTGTCCTTGGTGTATCAGTCAGTGGGCTGGGCTATGCTGCTGTGACAAACATCCCCAACATCTTACCATGAACAAAAAGATGTGTTGTAACCTAAGGTTGTCTGCTATCCCCAGTTGGTATCTGAGGACCCCCAAACTTTGTGTAGGGTCTGGGAAGCCCAGGTAACTTGGAGTTCACAAATTATCCCCCTGAACATGAGGCCAGGGGAGATTAGTGCCCAGTCATATGTCATTGGTGCTCATAGACCACATGACCATGCTTAACTACAGGGCACTTCTACATTTGTGACCCTTGACCCTCTCTGAATTGTTGTGAAATACAGAACAGAACACATAAACAAAATTAGCTGATCTTGTTTTTCTCTTTTGAGATGGTCTCACTATGTAGTTCAGGCTGGCCTTGAACTCACTATATAGCCCACACTGACCTCAAATTCACATCGATCTTCCTTCCTCAGCCTCCTAAATGCTGGGATTACAGGCCTGCACCACCACTCCTACCCAAAATTTGCTGTTTAACCATTTTTAAGTGGTTGTTTCAATGACCCTAAACACATCCAGAGCCTGACACTGTGACACATGCCTGTGATAGCAGCTACCCAGGAAGCTGAGGCAGGAGGATTCCAAGTCTGAGGCTATCCTGGGCAATTTAGCAAGTCTCCATTTCCAGTATATACACACACACACTGACACAGTTGTGCAGCCATCACCATTGTCCTCCAGCTCTAACTCAAGAACTTAATTCATCTTCCCAAGCTAAAACTCTGTAGTAAAGGGCCAGCCAGATAGCTCAGCAGATTAAAGCGCCTGCTTAGGCAAACACAGGGAGTGGGGTTCGATCCCTGGTTTGCTGTGCCAGCCCCACCCCAGGGCATGCTAAGACTGCAACTGAGATTGGGCGTGGTGGCACATAATCCCAGCGCTTGGGAGGCTGAAAACAGGAGAATCACTGCGAGTCCGATCTGTGTATTGAGACCCTGTAGACACTGTACTAGATACATTAAAGAAGTAAAACTCTATAGATATGAAACACTAATTCCCCATCCCTTCTCTCCACAATCAGGCTCTCACCACTTTCCTTTTTTCCTCTAGGAATCTGAAACTTCTGGAGACCTCACAAAAGTGGAATCCTTGGCTATCTGCCCTTCAGGACTGGCTTCTTTCATGCAGCACCTGTGCATCCTTGAGGTTCACATTGGCGGAGAAATCAATGCCCTTCCTTTTTAGAGCTATGTAATATTCCCTTGCCTAGCTACGTTATATTTTGTTTATCCATTCATCTGTCCAAGGACACTCAGTGTTTCGATCCATTTTCTGTAGTTATAACTGAGTATCATAGACCAGGTGATCTACAGAGTGTAGCTTTATGTAGCTCATCACAGAGCTTGTGGCAGCACCCTCTGGCACAGACCTTGCTGCTGAGACACGGAGGTGGAGGGTATCACACAGCAGGCCGGCACAGCTGCCAAGTAGAGCTGTTAGCATAACAAGCCATTCTCTCCAAAACCCAAGAGCCCACCATTCTGTTCCTCTGTGACAAGACCCAGTCATGCCCCAAAGGCCCAGCCACCACTTGCCACTCATGTATTTAGGAGCTGAGTTGCTAGTACCTGAAATTTTGGGGATGCATGTAAACCGCTCCACAGAGTCACCTCCCCTGGTGGCACATGTCACCTGTGCTGCTGTGGAGACCTCCTGAGGTGTGACTTACACTGATTTGGATCTGCACCCTGGGGGAACTGAGGATCTTGGACAATGCAGTTTTGTTTATTTTGTTTATTTTTTTCTGGTACTGGGGATCAAACTCAGAACCTTGTGCTTGCCAGGCAGGTGCTTATGCCACTGAGCTATCTCCTCTCCCCATTATTATTATCATTTTTTTTTTGAGATAAGGTTTCACATTGGGCTGGAATTTACAGCCCTCCTGCCTCAGCTTGCCAAAGTGCTGGGATTGCAGTCATGTGCCCTCACTACTGACCTGTTTTCTGGAGTTTTAGAGAGAGAGAGAGAAAAACATTCTTTGATTTATATTTCCCTGATGGTTAGTGGTGCGGAGCACCTTTTCATATGCTGATTTAGATTTACATATCTTCTTAGAGAATTGTCTATGCAAATTTTTCACCTCTCCCCTGCTTTGTGTCTGCATTGCTGGGGATCAAATTCAGAACCTGGCGAGTGCCAGGCAGGTGGTGAACCTCTGAGCTGCACCCTAGTCCTTAGCACTATTTGGCACTATTTTTAACACACTGCTGACCAAAGTGGAACACCTGTGTGGGCCACCTGCTGTGTCCAGGTGGCCTTAGCTCAGCTCAGCCCACCCCGTTCCCTTCCCTTCAAACACTCTGAGGGGGACACATCCAAAGCAAGGTCAGCTGTGGGGACAGGCAGCCTGGCAGCCTCAGCCTTGTTGCTGGGATGCTTGCATGTGACACAGACCAACAGGAAGAGGTTGTACTGTCTGAGACCCTCAGCCCTGGGGTCCTAAGCAAGAGCTAGCAAGGGCAGAGTCCGCAGAGCCCGGAGTGGGGCGTGAAGCTTGGACTGCAGGACTTCCTGGCTCAAATAGAGGGGCAGACCTGGGCCCAGAACTCAGTTGTGTGTGACCCCAGCTGGGCTGTGCCTGATGATCCCAGGTGCGAGCCAGATGTGCCATAAAGGAAAGGCACAGTGGTCATAAAGGGCAAGTCCTGCTTCAGCCACCTGCTTGGTATGGGCTGGCACAATGCCTGCCTCGGTTTCCCTGTCTGGACAGAAGATCTGTCTGGACAGATCCCTGGGATCTGGTGAGAGGGTGCCTGTGCTGCATGCCCTATCTAGACTGCAACTAGGTAGCAGAGCATGCTGGGAGCTCCATGCCTGTGACCCCTCTTCTTCCTACCTCTGCACCCGCTGCTAGTGAGCCTGACATCACTGGCCGTACCCTGGCCATCCCTGTTCTCAAGCCCTGCAGGACAGAACTGTGGTTGACTATACTTCTATCTTGTGGGTACTGGAATAAATGGTCGCAGTTTAGGTACCTTTAAACAACAAAAATTTTCCTGTCATTATTCAGGAGCCAGAATCCAAAATCAAAATAGCAGTGAGGCAGGTTTCCTCCCAGGGTCTAGGGAACCTGCTGTCCCAGGCCTGTCTCCTGTGTCTCTGTAGGCCTGGACCAGGCATTGCACTCCAAGGTGTGCAGCTGGGTGCTTTAATCTCTGCTTCTGTGTGTGGGTCTTCACCTTATCTTTATGGCTTGTCGCCTTTTTTTTCTCCATTCATACTGAAGATTGAACCCAGGCCTGTCCCACTGAGCTACACCTGTACCCTCCCCTTTTTTTTTTTTTTTTTTTTTTTTGCGGAACCAGGGATTGAACTCAGGCCCTTGCGCTTGCCAGGCAAGCGCTTATCTACTGAGCTATCTCCCCAGCTCAAGCCCTTTTCTTAGTTTATATTTTAGGGCACGATCTCTCTAGTTTACTAAATGACCCAGCTGGGCTCAATCTTGATCCTCTGCCTCAGCCTCCCGGAGTGCTGGGACTCTAGAACCTACATCGCCACACCTGATTTCTCTTCTTCTTACAGAGCCAGTGGCTATGTAAAATTAGCCTGCAGTATCTTTCCAAATGGGTTCCATTCTGAGGTTCCAGGGGCTAGGACTTTATCTTCTGGGGGGCTGGCAATCCCCTGTAGCCCTGCCTGAGGCCAGGACATAATGCAAACATGGGGTACTTCAGATTGCAGAATAAGGGAATATATATATATA